TCGGGGCTGCGTGGAACGAACGAGCGATCGCGGTCCGGTGGGGTGGGAGAGGGCAGAGACGTGATGCGTAGTGTTTGAGTCGGACTTGGGGACTAGGGGATGGGAAAAATTATCCTGGACGAGGATGCGCGCGCAACGCTCGTGTCACCGTGGCAACGGAGAATCACCGCCACCGCAGCCGCAACTTGAGGACGAGGCCGACGGAGCGGCCGGCGCGCGGTTAGCGTGGCGATGAGCGTGAGAGAGAAACAGATCGCGCGCGGGCGGGTGTTGGCGGCAGCTGACGTGTCGCGCGCGCCGCGTCTCCGGCGGTTCTCTCGCGCCGGCCGCCGTCGCCCGCTCACCGATCTCTCACCCTCTCACATCCACCCGAGCCGTCACCGGTCTGGCGATCGCTCCCTCTAACGCCGCCGCTTCACCGGCAACGCATCGCGACACACTCGCGCGCGCGCACATCGTACCGCTCACCATCGCCGCCGCCGCCGACGACGACTGGCGCGCGCGGCAAACGCAATGATCCCAGCGCCGAGCTGTGCAGTAGACACAGCGTAACGGTCGCGGCCAGGCGCCCACTTACGTCGGTACCGGTCGCGCGCGCCCACGCACACGAGACACGCCGCGCACGAGAATCTTCGCGCGCGATCGACACGATCTCATTTTTGTCGTCGTGTCGATGTCGTTATTATAATAATAATACGATAATAATAATAGAAGTATTACCTGTTATTAACTGGCGCACGCTCAATCGCCTTCCCCTATCGTCGCTCAAGTTCACCGGCGATATTTCGGTGCGGAGGAGCCGGGTGTGTATGTACGTCGGCGGTTGTGCGACCGACCAACCGGCACCGTCAAACATAAATAGATTTATCATAATATTTTGTCGTCGAGATTTTCTTGTCCGAGTCGCAATAACACAACCGGTCTCAAACATGTGAGCGCGACATCGCGGAGGTACACACGTAGCGCCCGTGCGCGCGTGGTTCTTCCACTGCGCCCCCGCACGACGTCCATCACTCGTTAGAACGTTGCAAGTACGACGATATTATCATCATTACGTTCACGCGATAAAGCAATACGTAACTG